CCCCGCCCCCGCCGCCGCCGCCGCCGCCGCCGCAGCCGCCGCCACCGCCGCCGCAGCCGCCGCAGCCGCCGCCGCCGCCGCCAAGTGTACTCTGTATTGTTTTTTTGTCAAGGATGTTGGGGGGGGGCCGCATCGGGTTGGCTGCGCATGTTCCGAATTTGGAGGCAGAGTGTGTTTTGTATTGTTTGTTACAATGGATGGTGGGGGGGGGGTCGGCATGGACCCTGGTTGGCCCCCAGTCGCCTGGGGGAAGGGGTGTTTATTAATAGGGAACAGTGATAAACCCCTCCCCGAAGGGGAAGAAAAGGGGTTGAGGACAGAGAGGGCTCCCTAAACCACTCACGCCCAGAGGGCTGGTGGGATTATAGAGTAACGCCGCCGTCTGCCGCTGAGGAGGGGCAACACAAGAACATACGATACATGCCCAATCGGATACTCAGAGGGGAAATGCCGAACAGAGAGGACGAAATCTGCGCCCAACTAAAGCAAGTGCACCACAGTGAAGGGCTTGCCTGTACGCTGTTGAGCAGGTGCTGCCTGGTGGACTGCCAGTCCATTAGGTGTAAGTCGGGCGCGTCCCTCTACAAGAGGAATGTTCAAAACTAGTCAAACAAGAGTCTGGGACGGTTTTTGAGTATGTTTGACAATGTTTGAACACTGTTTGAGTATTGTTTTATAATTTTCGCCCAAAAGCGCCTGTTGGGGGGCATGCCCGACCTAACACTAGGTATGCTAGGCAGCCAGGACAGTGGTGAGGCAGACGCAGTCAGGTGTCCCACCAGCCGGCATCGTAGCCCCACGTTCCTCTCCATCCCACCATAGTTAATCAAGGCCTGCACTAACAAGGGTGTGATGCGTGACGAGGTAAAATGACAGAGCAAGCGACGACATCATAGAGTGTGGCATGGCATGATGTAGGCTGGCGCTGCACTTTGGCCTGCCTAGCGTGATGAAGCGAGGGCATGCTGTCTTTGGTGTGAGAGCGAGCGTCTGGCAATCAGCGGCCCACAGTAGGGCTGACGCCCCTCCGCTGAGAGCCAAAATGGCTGCAGTTGTCAGTGCTGCTCCCCGTCCCCACCCAAAAGACCCCACCCCCGTCCCAGAGGACAGTAAGTTTGGCGAAAAGGCTTCTCCTCCTCCTCCTCCATCTCGCCCGTATCCATTTTGGCTCAAGGTCATTTCGGCTAAGGTTTCGGCCATCGAGCCGCAGGGCGATGGTGCTATGATGCGTTCGTCGAGCAGACCACGGCTTCCTGCTCGAGACGGCAGGACATGACCACTCGAGCACGGGGCAGTTACCAACATCTCCTGCTGGCCGTTGGCGGCATCTGCGTGTACTGCCTTGGCGTTTTCCATGGCTCTTCCAGAGGCGTGGCTTCCCTTTCTGCAGAGCAGTATGGAGAGATAGCCTCTCAGGCCATGTTCCCGATGCAATCATTCGTTCCCGACCCGCTGGCGTCAGGCTGCAATTGGGACATCGTCTACCACGTGTGGTCGAACGTTAGTGCGACTGCGGGCTCCTGTGAGGAGGCAAATCCTTTCGTCGATTGCTGTGGTGATGGGCAGTGTGCAGGTTTTCTGAGACACTCGAGCCACTGGGGGCAGTGCTACAAGTTTGCCGAGATGCCTGATCAGCTGGTGGCGCATGAGTGGACTCCTGAACCGTTGGAGCTCTTTGATTCCGCAGCAGTGGCATCGCAGTGGAGCTTCTACCTGAAGCGTCCCGTCAAGGAGCCTGGCTCTGCGTCCTGGCCGTCGTCGGGAAAGCCTCCCCCCTTCCTCCGCCCCACCCCCGCACCCTCCTCGCCACCCCCCTCCGCTGAAGCTCGCCGCCCGGAGCCGCCGCTCCACACGCGGCCTCTGGAGCAGACCGGCACTGCCGAAGAGGTCCACGTCGTGTTCACCGTGGACTGCCGCCCGTTCAACCTGTGGCAGAGCGAGCTGCTGTTCTTCTCCGCCCTGTCGGCCGGGCAGCCCGGACCTCTGACCGCGATAGTCTCCGGGTGTAACGAGTCCATGAGGGACCACCTGCAGGAGCGCCACAGAGCCCTCGCCTGGCCCCCACGGTTCACGCAGTACTTCGTGGAGGCCTTCAATGACGCGACGTCGATATGGCTGAGCAAGCCGCACGGGTTCTACCAGTGGTACAGCAAGGCAGGGCCGTCAAGGGACGTCCTGGCCCTGGTGGACCCAGATTTTGTCTTCCTGCGCCCTCTCACCGCGAAGCTGAACACGGCCGCGGCGCCCCGCGACTGGGCGGGGCCCGTGCCGACTCGAGTGCAGAAGGGCTTTGTTGTGGGCCAGCGGTACGAAAATTTGAGGCCACAGTTGGATAGTACCCTGTATCACTTTAATTTCGAGGGGCACAATATGAGTGAGGACGAGTTCCTGAGTTGGGTTTGTAGCGGTGACAAGGACGGGGAGACAGGCTGCAGAGGCCTGACACTCTACGAGTTTGGCACTTTTCATGGCTCTGGGGTGCCCTACATAGCGCACCGGGATGACTGGGACTGGCTTGCGCCAGATTGGAATAGCATCAACGCACGGTTGCACAAGTATGCGCCCAAGGGTTATTACATTGATATGTGGAGTTGGAGTTTGGTCACTGCTCACAGAGGTCGTCGGCAGTTCATTCAGGAAAATCTGATGCTATCGTCCGCTGTGGCTTCTTTCGAAGACTGGCAGGCCGTTGAAGCCCTGCGCGTGGACGCGTGCTACACGGACGTCGAGGAGATCCTTTCGTTCCTCATACCAGGTCGCTCGCCGCAGCAGGCGCTACCTGGTCATCAAGCCCCCAATTTTCTCCACTATTGTCTCCCCATCTACGTGCCTTACCCGAGCTTCAAAGACCAGGACGGCGGACGTCTGTGGAGCAAGTACTGGTTCGACTGGGGCGTGGAGAGAGGCAGGCCGCATGCGCTGGAGCGGTGCAATGACACTGCGACGCACCCATGGTTGGTCCATACCCAGCACTGAAATGGTTCAAGACGTCACCTCCAAGGCGGGCGCAGCCAAACCAGTCGATGCCGATCACGGGTTTCGGGTTTAAGTAGGGTTTAGGGTTTAGGGTTTAGGGTTTAGGGTGTCCTCTGTCAGCGCTTGCTGATCATCAGTCGTGTAAGACCACCCCCACCTATAAAATGGAGTGGGGGTGGGGTAGTCGTGTTGAGGTGATATCAGGTTGAGCGGAATCATGTTTCGGCTACGGGGCCAGCTCCCCTTTTCACATTCCCACCCCGCGCCCGTTAGGGCGGCGAACCACCCACGGCTTTCTCTATTAGGGTTTAGGGTTCATTCGGTAATCGGGGTTCTCTTTCTCTTAGGGCTCCACGATTCCAATCGGTTTGGCGATCTTGCTCATGGGTTCGACATACAATGCTTTGTGTATCACACGTACACAGATACCCTCCTAGGTCTTAAGATATGCGCAATCCTGGGTTTAGGGTTGACGCTTTGCGTCGGGGGAAAGAGTTTGGGGTGGAACGCCGCGCGGGCGTTTGATTGTGCGCTTGTGGCGCCGGCTCCGCTCGCTTCGCTCGCTCCGCCGATACCGCTCCTCTTGAACTATGAAATCCAATTGGCGCGCCGAGGAGCGCCCTGGGCGCTGGGCGGCAGCTGAGTCACCGTGAATGGCGCCTGGGGTGCCCTGGAAGGCGTTGAGAGAGCCTTGGAGGGCCCTCAGGAGGGCTCCTGGGGAGCTCCTGGGTGGCTCCTGAAGAGCTCCTGAAGGGTTCTGGGGGTCCTGGGGGGCTCCTGGAGGGCTTGGGGCGGAGCTAATTCACCGTGGCGCGCGCCCTGGGGGGGCCCTGGGGGGCTCCTGGGGGGCTCCTGGGGGGCTCCTGGGAAGCTCCTGGGGGGGCTCCTGGAGGCCTCGGGCGGGAGCTAATTCACCGTGGCGCGCGCCCTGGGGGAGCCCTCCTGGGTGGCTCCTGGTGGGCTCCTGGGGAGCTCCTGGGGGTGCTCCTGGAGGGCCTCGGGCGGGAGCTAATTCACCGTGGCGCGCGCCCTGGGGGGGCCCTGGGGGGCTCCTGGGGGCTCCCGGGGTGCTCCTGGGGAGCTCCTGGGGGGGCTCCTGGAGGGCCTCGGGCGGGAGCTAATTCACCGTGGCGCGCGCCCGGGTGGGGGCCCTGGGTGCGCCCTGGGGGGCTCCTGGTGGGCTCCTGGTGAGCTCCTGGGGGGGTTCCTGGAGGGCCTCGGGCGGGAGCTAAATTCACCTTGGCGCGCGCCCTGGGGGTGCACCTGGGGGGGGGGGCCTGGGGGGCTCTGGTGGGCTCCTGGGGGTGCTCCTTGGAGGGCCTTCTGGGCGGGAGCTAATTCACAGTGGCGCGCGCCCTGGGGGGGGGCCTGGGGGCTCCTGGTAGCTCCTGGGGGGCTCCTGGACGGGCTCCGGAGGGCTTCGGGCGGGAGCTAATTCACCGTGGCGCGCGCCCTGGGAGTGCCCTGGTGGGCTCCTGGAGAGCTCCTGGTGGGCTCCTGGCGAGCTCCTGGGGGGGCTCTTGGAGGGCTTCGGGCGGGAGCTAATTCACCGTGGCGCGCGCCCTGGGGAGGGCACTGGGGGGCTCCTGGAGTGCCCTGGGGAGCTCCTGGGAGGCTCCTGGAAGTCCTAGGAGGGCTCGTGGAGGGCCTCGGGCGGGAGCTAATTCACCGTGGCGCGCGCCCTGGGGGTGCCCTGGGGTGCTCCTGGGGGGCTCCTGGGGTGCTCCTGGGGAGCTCCTGGGGGGGCTCCTGGAGGGCCTCGGGCGGGAGCTAATTCACCGTGGCGCGCGCCCTGGGGGTGCCCTGGGGGGCTCCTGGGGGGCTCCTGGGGGGCTCCTGGGAGGCTCCTGGAGGCTCCTGGAGGGCCTCGAGCGGGAGCTAATTCACCGTGGCGCGCGCCCTCGAGGGGCCCTGGAGTGCTCCTGGGGGGCTCCTGGGGGCTCCGGGGAGCTCCTGGGGGGGCTCCTGGAGGGCCTCGGGCGGGAGCTAATTCACCGTGGCGCGCGCCCTGGGGGGGCCCTGGGTGGCCCTGGGGTGCTCCTGGGGGGCTCCTGGGAGCTCCTGGAGGGCCTCGGGCGGGAGCTAATTCACCGTGGCGCGCGCCCTGGGGGGCCCTGGGCCCCTGGGGTGGGGGCTCCTGGGGAGCTCCTGGGGGGGCTCTTGGAGGGCCTCGGGCGGGAGCTAATTCACCGTGGCGCGCGCCCTGGGGGGGGCCCTGGGGTGCTCCTGGGAGCTCCTGGGGGGCTCCTGGGGAGCTCCTGGGGTGCTCCTGCGGGCTTCGGGCGGGAGCTAATTCACCGTGGCGCGCGCCCTGGGGGGGGGCCCTGGGGGGCTCATGGGGGAGGCTCCTGGGGTGCTCCTGGAAGGCTCTTGGGTGCCTCGGGCGGGAGCTAATTCACCGTGGCGCGCGCCCTGGGAGGGGGGCCTTGGGGGCTCCTGGGAGAGGTTCCTGGGATGCTCCTGGGGTGCTCCTGGCGGCCCCAGGCGGAAGCTAATTCACCGTGGCGCGCGCCAGGGGGGTCCACGGGTTCCTCAGGAGCGCCGGCATCGCCGCGGAGCGTCTCTGTGTGCCCAGGAGAGCCCCGTGCCCTTGGGCGCTACCTAATTCACCGTGGCGCGCGCCAGGGGCTGGGCCCAAGTGCTTCCCGCGGGGGCCCGAGTCGCCAGGAAACGTCTTCTGCAAGCCAGCCGATCGGGGAGGTCCACTCTGGAAAACTTTAGGATTCGAGGTCGAAAAAAAAATGCCAGTCGCAATCCGTGTCTTTTAGCGATTTTATGTTGCCGCTCCCGCAGGGCCAGGGCGCGCGCCACGGTGAATAGGCTTGTAGTTTTGGGGTTATAAGTCTCTTTGACGATCGCCCAGGCGGGCACAGGATAATCGCTTGCGCGTAAGCCGCATCATTGATAATGAGATTAGGCCCTCGCGGGCCATGCCTGACGGCAACCGAGACTCTGCTGAGCTGGTCTGTGAATTCACGTACGGCCGTGAGGTAGTCTGACTGCGAGGTGCCAGTTAGGGCGCTTGCCGCCTAAATGGGTGGGTGGATACGGGCCAAGCGGCCCTGGGCGAGTTTAGGGTTTAGGGTATATTTAGGAAAGCGGTCCAGGCTTTGTGCCCTGGGCAACCAATGGCTAGAGACGTCATGGAGTCGACGGACCCCCTGGACGAGTGAGCTGCGCTTCCTCGAGGGAGGAGGGGTGGAGGAGAGGAGGAGGAGGAGGAGCAGAGCGGCCTTGCCTCCCGAGAGGGCGGCGGCTTCCCAGAAGGGGCCGGCCCCTCTCCACACGGTGCCCCGTGCACTATCCAGTAGACGGGGAGCCCTCTGCTCGTTTCATTGTTGGCCCTCTGCCGCCGCCGCCGCCGGTGATGTATGGACGAGACGTGGGGCGGTCTGCACCGACGAGGGATACGGTAAACCCATAGTGAGGGTGGGCAACCTTCCCAAGGGTGCCCTTGCGCCCTTGCCTCGTCGGTCCATCCTCGGACACTTTCGTTGGCCGCGCCCCGCTCGAAAAGCTTCGAAATGGGCGTCCAAGGCCCTTGCACCCTTACCGCGCGTCCTTACTGTTCCGGTTTGACTCTAGACGGTGCACGGGCGATGCATCTCGAGGAAGAACAAACGGCATCAGCATAGACTCTTGGCGCTCCGCGCGGATTTCTTGGATCCGCGCCAGGCTCCCCCGGCGGCGCCCCCAGCGCCGCTCCTGACGCGCTCCGCGCGCCAGGGAGGGGGGTCCAGCGCAGATCCAAGAAGTCCGCGCGGAGCGCCAAAAGTTGATGCTTATGCCGCCCTCTGACGAGGCCTTCTCCTCCTCACTTCCTCCGCAGGCTCGCCGCCGGAAAAAAACGGGAAAAGGGTGCCAGACTTAGGTCGGCCATGTCCCCCTGCAGGCAGATATTGCACGAAAAATCAAACTATCCAAACATAGTCAAAAAAATGTCACACAATCGTCCCAAAACTAGTTTCTAGCATTTCTAAATATTCCTCCTGTACAGGAAAAGGCCCGACTCAGTGCTAGCCAAGGTGTGTCGCGGCCTTGAGGAAGACGACTGGTCACGTGGCCACACGAAAAAGAGAAAAGACAACGCTTCTTGGTGCCTGCTGGGAGGCCCGGAAAGGTCGTGCCAAAAGGGAGGAGGAACGGGAGACAAGGGAAGAGGAGGAGGAAGAGGAGGAAGAGGAGGAGGAGGACTCGAGGACTCGAGAACTAAGGGCAACGCGGTCGACTCAGCCGCCGCGCCCCCCCTTCCCGCGCACGCTGCGCAGGCTCACGAGGTCGCGCCTCCACCTCCCTGCCACTACCAGGGCAGAATACATTTGCGGGGCCGAAGCCCCGAGCCGCGAACTCAATCACATGCAACTTGTTGAGCCCCCACAGCACCTGGACGTAGAAGACATGGAGGCAGTGGCTCTGGGAGGTTGCCCAACCGTGCCGCCCACGACAACAGATAGGAGAGGACTATGGATGCGCCCGCAGTTAACATTCAATGTGATGTTCACCCTGTTGGCGCCCGTGCGTCCATTCTCCCGCACAGTTAACAACCGCAGAACGAAGCTTCCAATCCACAAACGGCACTCTCCCATCACAGGGTTGCTGAAGCCCACCAAGCCACGTACTCTTGACGCGTGAATTGTAGCGCCCTGCGCAAAACACCGCAACGTAGGACGACGACGCAATGCAACGAGCCCTCCGACACGGAGAAAAGCGCCCCGCAGCAGCGTACCCCATCTCCTTCCTCAAGAAGACCGCCACTGCAGGAAAAACAAGCCGTATGTGGGGCATGACTGGCCAAAAAGGCTCTCTCTTCCCACAAAGCTGCAACCACCACGTGCTTGACATACTCTGATCGCTCAACATCGGCTCGAAGGTCGGTAGCGTGTTTTCCGGAGCAATCTTCGAAACAAAATGCCGAACGTCGTGCAAAACAACGCACTGTATGATAGCGGTTGCAACAGCACAAATAATAAGATACCAAAAGCTGATATTGTGGGGCATGCCTGGCCAAAAAGGTTCTCTCTTCCCACTTTGCCGCTGCACGCCCACGATGATGCTCACCTGCTCCTGGGACCTGCAATCGATTTTGGTGACGTGGTGGTCAACCTCCTAGCCGTAGCCTGGAGGTAGAAGAAACCGTACAACTTTCAGCGGCGCGACGCCTGGCGCTCCCCCTCAAGTCCGAGGATGGGTCAAAGATACTGCCCGCGTATCTTACCCCACCCGGTGCGGATTGCACGGCCACCTGGTTCGAGCCAGCTCTGGTGAGCCAAACTGGTCCGAGCCAAATGTTACTTGAGAGAGGAGGAGGAGGAAGAGGAAAGGGAAAACGAGGAGGATAAGGAGGAGGAGGAGGACGAGGAGGAGGAAGAGAAGAAGGAGGAGGTGGAGGAAGAGGAGGAGAAGAGGAGAGGGAAGAGAAGGACAAGGAGGACGAGGAGGAGGAGGAGGAAGAGGAATAGGGAGGACCGGGAGACAGGGGAAGAGGAGGAAAGACGACAGAGAGCGGCATCCCGTGGGGACCAGGTCAGTCCCTCCACTGGACACCCAGAGGCCCAGAGGCGGTCCTCGAGAGGAGGATCCAGAACGCCTGGGGGCGCTGTCCCCAGAGCTACACCAGAGGAGGGTGGAGGCAGCGGGGAGGCGTGCGGAGTGGGCACAGGGGCACGAAGGGGGGGGGGGGAGGACACCCGGGGAGACTGCAGCAGGAGCTCGCCGACAGGAAACCTTCCACAAGAAGCCCCACCCTGAGAGAGCCCAGGGCGTCCATCGACTTTCGGCGCGAGAGCGCCACGCTCTCCATCGCAAGACCCTCGAGGCCCAGGAAGCCCAGGGCACCCTGGAGGCAAGCAGGGCCGCTGCTTGGCACGGGCTTCCACTGTGTAAAGGGGGAGGGGGGCGGCCGAGGTGTCGCAGCCTCCACCTCCTGGCCCTCGAGGCCGCGCAGGGCCTCCTCCATCTCCTCGGGCGGGCGGCACGAGGGACGTAGGGGGATTGCGGTGGGGGGGAGGGGGGGCGGCCCGGTGCAGGGGGCAGGGAGCCTCGGGGCGGACTCTGGCGCGGAGCGGCTGGGCACTCTCGGCCACGCTGCTGGTTTCGGGTGGCTCCTCCTCCCGCCTCCTCCTTCCTCCTTCCTCCTTCCTCCTCTGAATCCCTCCTCCTCCTCCTCCTACTCCTCCTCCTCCTCCTCGAGCACGTCGTGAGCCATCATGCTCCGTAGACGTTGTTTGGCTCCAGCCGTTCGTGGATGCGGCGATGCGCCTTGGCCGAATTGGCACGCCCTGGCACGAGAGCAGCGGCAACCACCCCCGCCCCAGATGATGCTCATTACATGTTGCTAACCTGTACTCGCCCGTTGCAATCGTAGCCTGTTCTGCGTGGGACATCACTCCGCTGGACCCCCAAAAGGATACCTGGAAGTGGAGTCCTTTTCAAATGTGGCTCTCGCTATAGCGCCGCGCGCGTTCTGTGTAAGAATCAACAACAGTTTTGTAAAATGAAAGCGACTCGTTTCCAACATGCGGCTCTCTTCTGCGCGCCGCCCACATTCGCCTTAACAGTTTGCAGCAGACTCGCCTTTCCAAAATGACGCTCTCGCCTCAGCGCCGCGGGCATTCGTTTCAAACATTTGCAAACTACTCCCAAGGATTCGCACGCTTGAAGTCCCAGGACCGCTGTTCTGGCACGTTCCAGAGGTGCCATCACACAACAATCAGGTTGATTCGCGTCGTTGGAGTCTGCGGAGTTGCGATCGCGTCCAGGCGCGATCAAAAAGCGTCAGGACGCAGCAGTCACGTTGATTCGCAAGAGATGAATTCACAAGACCCGTGTTTCTCCACACTTCTGGATTCTCACACGGTGGTCTTCAAATGATCACTTCGCACGGACACATAATCACTTGCAGGGGCCTGAGAGAAAGGAACTTGCAGGGAGGCTGTACTGCAACATCGGTAAGCTGTCTTGCGTTGATAATGATCAGTTTCCTCCTCCTCCCCCTCCCATTCACATCCTCCTCCTCCTCCTCCTCCTCCTCCTCCTCCTCCTCCCCCTCCTCCTCCTCCTCCCCCTCCTCCTCCTCCTCCTCCTCCTCATCCTCCTCATCCTCGTCCCACTCCACATTTCCTCCTTTGCGCCCCCTTTCCCTTTTGCCCTATCCTCCCACACACTTCCCCGAACTTTCCTCATCCTGCCCGTCCCCGTCGCCCTCCTCCCTCTCCTCTTTCTTCTCCTCCTCCCGTTTACCCGTCCTCCTCCTACACCCCCTCCTCATCCTTCTGCGCCCGCTCCTCATCCTTTCTCCCTCTGGTACTCTTCCTTCTCCTGCGCCGCCTTCCAGTACAATTGCTCAACATCATGAATACTGCTCGCTCCCCTCCGTATCTCACAATGGCGCTGCCGCTACATCGGCAACCTCATTTCAGGATCGGCACGTCGCTCCCATCATTCAGAATGGCGCTCTCGTCGCAACGCGGGCCACTTATCATTCTGGCCAAAAACCTTTTCTCATCTTGTCGCCCACTTGCTTCCCCTCTTCCATATTCCAACCTTCCGGTTCCTCCCGCTCCTTCCACTCCAACTCCTGCTGCTTCAGTTCGCCATCGCCATCCTTCGTCGTCCTCTTCTTCTCCTTCTTCGCATTTCCCTTCTTCTTCTTTTTCTTCTTCTTCTTCTTCATGTTTTAGACCTCCTCATCCGCCACCTCCACCTCCCTCTCCTCCTCCTCCTCCTCCTCCTCCTCCTCCTCCTCCTCCTCCTCCTCCTCCTCCTCCTCCTCCTCCTCTCGCGCGGCTCCCCTTGTCAGTTTGCAACGAGACGGGGTCCTTTATTTCCAAGCCCGCCACGACACGCGTCCGCGGACAGAGAAGACATCGGCGCAGTGGGAAGGGATGGGTGGGAAGGGTAGGATGCCAGATATGGCGCGAGCCCACCTGCGGTCGGGAACGTTTGCTTAGCGTGTCGCCGCGGCGGCCCCGGCAGCACGCTATGTCATGCAAGCGAGTAGCATGTCGCTCCGCTCCGCAGGGCAGGGAAATAGAGAAGGCTCGGGAGGTTGGCGCTTGGGGATCGGGAAGTGAGCGGCGCATCGCGCCGAGGCGTGGTGGGCCAGAAATGAAATTATCCCAGTGCGACCCTGCCTAGGAGTTGGAGCCCCTAGGACAGCAGCATTAGTAGTAACAGTCAAGCTAAGCTCAAGCTAGGCTCAAGCTAAGCTGAAGCTAAGCTACAGCTAAGCTAAAGCTAAGCTAAATCTAAACTAAAGCTAAGCTAATCCTAAGCTAAAGCTAAGCCAACACTAAGTTAAAGCTAAGCTAACGCGGGCTAAACCTAAGTTAAACTAAGCTATAGCTAAGCTAAAGCTAAGCTCAAGCTAAGCTAAAGCTAAGCTAAAGCTAAGCTAAAGCTAAAGCTAAAGCTCCCTGGGGACTGGGGGAACCGCTCCCAGGGGACTGGGGGAACCGCCCGGGGCGGGTTGCACTGCCCGGCCCCT